TTATTATTTGCAATAGGTTAATAACAGATATTAGAAGGCATATAAGCTTTATTATTTGGTTTAAAAAATTGAATATTTATTAGTTAGGCACATTTATTATCTATAAAAAACCGTTTTGTGGCATTTTGGGGTTTTTAGTGTTTGTTCATCATCAGTTGCATTCCAAAGTTCATCAATTGATTTTCTTGTATCTGTTATGTAGTTAGGTAGATATGTCTATTTTTAATTTTTTTTTCGAAAATATTTAGAAATATACTATGCACCTATAACTTGAATTATAAATTAAATTATTCACATTAAATCTATAATCAATTAAATTAAATCGCAAAAATTCTTTAATAATTAATAATTTAATAATTCTTTGTTTAGAATAACTTGTATTATGAAATATAATTTAACAATGTGATCGAAGAAGAAACAGAAACTTGCGATTGCTTAAATATTTGTTTGAATATTTTTAACATGACCGGTAGTGTAATGGACGACTCAAGCATAACTAACTTTCTTTTTTTTTGTTAATTCTACACTATATTTACCTGAGATATATTTCTGCTTACATCAAATTCGCTTTTTCACGTCATTTTTTGCATGTTTCTAAAAAAATTGGGTATCCACGAGTCAATTTTTGCTCAATTGGCGTATCATATATATGTATTTCAGCTCATTGTCCTTAAATTAATCTACGGAAAGGTAACTTCCAAATTGTCATTTAAGGAGTTAGGAAAAATTAATATATTTTGAGTTTTAGTATTGAAAATACAAATTTTAATATGTGTTCTATCCATGAAAAATAAAAAAATTTAAGCGATACAATCTGAGAGTTGGTCAAGATCGACGGTCGAAAGTTGCTAGGCTTCTTACTAGATCGCATGTAGATAAAGGATAACCATTAAATGATTAAATAATGTCGATGTGTTGCGTTAAGACATTCGATGTTTAATATGGCATACTCTAGGTACTTAATATGAACGCTCCAATGGCGGCTTTCGAAATTTCAACGCCGACGCACATTGCTCTGTACTTTATAGAACCTCTTTTTACAATAAACAAATTGCGAAATTATAAAGCGAACGATATACCTATATATTTTAAACACTAAGCATGAGGAACACTAAATTTAGACTTGACACCATATTTCTGTAAAAATGTGGAACTTACGCAAAACGTAATTTAGTGATGAATAACTACAGTTAGGGTCATTATTCTTCATATAAACATGCATTGACTTGTGAAGATTTTGTGTAATTTTAGACCGATATAGAGCTGCAAATGTTTTTGGGTATGTGATCACGACGACTAATTAATACTTTCCTTTTGTACAGTTATCCATATATTTTGAGGATATCAAAAAACATACCGATCATCTGCAGTTGCGGATGCAGATGTTAATATCCGTTGCAACCGTAATAAGTATATGCATTACTTAATTTTATGTTACAGATGTTTGCTTTTCCCTAATCAAATAATAATTCCAATGATACTTACAACCAACTGAAACAGGACTTAATTATTATACTAATATTAATACGCGAATGTCTGGTACAGACGGTCACGTGGAGAGTAAAAAAAACAGAAAAATTGATATGAGTAGGTACGTCTTTATAGATCATGGCTTTAATAATGTTTGGATTTTTGTATTGACTCTTGATCCACTTTGCTCTGTGACTTCAAGCAAAATGTGTAACTGTATAAAATTTGATTTTAATATACTTATGTTGTGACTTTGATTCGTGTTTAATAGTTTTCTTTTTTTCTGTAATAATGTATCCATTTGCTAATGGTGCGGTTTTTAAAGCATTCAGTTGTGCTTGTCAAAACAAAATTAAATAGAGTAATGATTTGGCAAGTTGTGTTATCTCCATACATGACTGATCAATCGGAAAATCAACGAAAAAAAGTGTCTACGTATGACACTCGCACCGACTGACTAGACAAATGTAAAGGCCAAAAAAAATTAGTGTTGGATTGATTTCATACGCAGAGACCAAAAAAGAAACAAATATATTGGATTGATTCGGCTGTTAGTCCTTTATAATACAGTATATTCATTTTCTTGTATATCTTTGACATACCTTGGTCATATTTTTGATTTATTTTATTTTTAAGCATATATTTTTAATTCAAGCACGAGTGCTCGGAATGTGATTCCTTTTGCTTAGGACAAGATCTTTTAGAATAATATATTTCGAAAACAAAGTAAAAATTTTAGAATCCCTAGAAAGTTTCGCGTTGCTATTGTGAGTCTGCGAAACACGTGTCTACAAGGACAAAGTTTTGTGGTAATTAGTGTGAGTGTTTTTTAGTTTATTTATCAGTGAAAATATTTTGATCATGCAAAATTTGTTAAATCGCCAGGTACGATTATCCAATTTAAAGCTGGTAACTTATTATAAATTATTTAGTATTTATAATTCTATGCAACTATTATTAGACACAAAATTTGCTTGATTTTATTTATCCCCATACTATTGCATCAAGGGAATCAATGGGAACTATAAGTAACTCTATTTAAGGGGTTAGAGGAAAAAGTGAATCTATACGAAAACCAGTAAACATAAAATTAACAAGCGGTCAAGCACCACTGACTCTCAACTTGTTATGATAATAGCTTAATACCGAAATTGCTGGTTACTAATAAGCTACAGAAGTAATTGGAAATTAAACCTTAACTATACTGCACGTACCTAATAACAAAAGCATTTGACATATAACAATAATAATGCTTCGTATAGTTGGGACATTCAAAATTGGCATAATCCGCAGTAAAACCGTCGCATTTACTTTCTTCTATCAACTTACTAACTAGACTACAGGAGTTGCTGTCAAAACGTCTACTTTTACTCACAACAGACGTTATAAGGAATATTGTAGACATAGAAAAGAGATGACAGATGAGAATTGCAGCGGATTGCATTGGAGTTTAAAGAAAGTTCAACATTCTCAAGAATTTAGGAAAGGAAAGACGCTTGTTTAAAAATATAATTCCAATAAAGTCGACTCTAATTTTTTGCGTACCTAAGCAACCTCCAACCGCTGCACCGCTTACTATCATTCGGTTATCTCTTTTCACTTCGTGTGTATTACTCATGATGTATTTATATAACTTAACTAGGGCGTGTTCCAAATGCAGCAAATGACTACAGTCCCAAGTGGAAACAAGTAAGAAGATAAATCCATTCTCACCGATAATTTATTGCGGACTATGCCAATTTTGATCGTCCCAACTATATCTCGGTTTTTCATATTTGATTGCATTGTAAATGGCAGATTGACGCATCGAAAAGTTTCTACGAAGCACTGCAGTTGGCTTTGCTTGTACTCGTTTACTTAACCAAGAGCACGACATCCACTTCAAGATGCTTAAAATTAGACCCAAAAACGGCTGGCATGAGTAAATTTAAAAGGCCCTGAGACGGAGTTAGTAGGTCTTACTTTGAAGGAACCCCATACAGCTCAACATTATGAACGCTTTGACGTCTCTAGGAGATCTTCGCTCCTCTATAAAAATAAAAAAGGAAACTTCTGGAAGCATTTTGTACGTCAAATATAGGGTTTGCTCATCATTAAGTAACACATATTAAATAACTGTCAAAATCCTACATAAACATATCTATATATGTATGCTGTGTACATATATTTTAGCCGAAATTGCAATATCTCTTGCATTTTATTAGTTACGATTAGAAAGAAAATTTCCTCATACAGAAGATCTTTGTTTCACCTTACTTGAATCACAGATAATCCTGATTATGACTACATTATATCTCCTTCTATGGCATTTTGAGGAATAGTTGTTGTCGTAACCTTTAGCTGTATAATTCATCATTTCTTTAATACTTTTAAGAATACATACTGTTGTATTGGCGTATAGCACGACAAAATGCACGTGTACCGATGAGCATACGGAATACGGAGAAGCATCGATCTGCGCACTCGCGACGAATAATAGAACTATATAAGGCAGGGAGTAGTGAGACGACCAAGTACTCCGTTTGTTAGCTCAAGTGTCTACCGAGCATTCGACGGTTTCCCTCCCTAATACCCCTCCTCCCCCCACACACTTAACCATTTTTCCCATTTCAACCCTCTTCCCAATCCCAACCTTCCATTTTTTCCCGGGAATGAACAACCCTCAGGGTTTATCTCCCCACTCGAGGAGGGGTTCTAGTCGGTAAAAATCCAACGCTACCTCCCTTTAGGGGGTGTCTTCTGCAAATTTTCCCTCCTCGAGAATAATCTAAACAAAAAAGAGGTTTAGTCCATTGCTTAGAATTCGGGACGACGCCGGTTCGATTCCGGGTCTGTCTGCCTTGATCCAAGTTTTTCTGTGGTTTCCCTGAATCACTTAGGCAAATGCTGGGGCAGAAATATTCTACAGATAATCTTTCATTCCCTTCAGTCTTCATTTCGTCCGTCTCATCTTTCTCGCCCGAACCACCACTCACCTATTTTCACGATTCTTGGAAGGACCCTGAAAAGGGCCTTCCGCCCTACCTTCCGGCATAGTCCAGAGAGACTGCCCACCCACCAGCATTAGTGGCTGGTGGAAACGAAACACCCAAAAGCTTTTTTTTTTAGAAGTAAAATGTGTTTTTCATCTATGAAAATCTTTCACCTAAGTCTTATTCCTCGATTACCCCTTAACAAAACACAAGTAATCATTATCAGCTATGTAATTTTATCTTTATACGTTTGGAGGAGATATTTATTAATTTTCAATTGTGCATAAGTAAAGTACATTTCCATCGACATCAAAAATAAGAGATAATCACTTGTTTTTCTCGTGTCAGTATTTTATGCAAACCAGGGCTTATTCACAAAATTGTAATCAGACTGGCTCCATATCTTTACAAACTTACACACATTAATTGTAGATACTGATATGATATCAGAAAACAGTTATCTGCACGCCACAGCGCATACTTGTATTGATAATATCATCCATGGACTTAAAATAAGTACTTAGCAAACGTGTTTTTTATAGATAGTGCATATACGTATACGCTCGTATATATATATTTATTGGTGTCAGTGAAATGTGATGGTTCAATACCTAATCACAATCTTCTTCGAACGAACGAACTTAAGTTAAGGTAACGACAACCCCAGTTTGGAAGTAAAGGTAAAATTTTTTACTTTATAAAGTTCATATTTTCAATTTTTGTAAGTGTAATGTGGTGCTAACTATATATACATATTTAAATGATAATAATAATTTGAGGCGAAAGTTTTATAATTTAAATTTAACAAAACATCAACGAGGGCCCACTGTTTACATTTCCATTTATAGCATTTTAAAAACTTAAAAATTTAGCACTGCTTTCTAATAACGTATATTAGAACTAAATATTTGTTTATGTACTAGTTCTTCCCCCCTATCAATCACTTGAAACAGTTAGCACCATTGCTTCAGGTGGTCGAAATTCATTTTTCTGAACAATTTGTTTAATCACTTTCTTTGTGTTAAAAATTGTTTGAAAAATTAAATTTAATGGATTTGTTTGAAAATAGGTATGCAACACATCGTACACTGCAGCATAAGATGTTGCTGATATTAACTACGTAATACTAGTTTACCCTGTGCTGTCAGCACTCATAATTTCTTTTATATACAATACTAGTTTAGGAGTCTATCGCGGACAAGCAACGTGGCACGTAATTTATATATATTAAGATTATACGTGTTATTAATTAAAACTGCCTTACACATTTAACAACCACGATATTTTGTTTTTAATTATCAAATATCAACTACCCGAATGAGTCCATTAAATAAATCATTTCCATGCACATTTTCATTTGTATGTAATTATTATTTCATAATTTCACCATTTTTTTATGATTGAAAGTTGATAAAATTACTAGCATAAATGTTCGTTTGACGTTTGTCTGCAGTAGAAGCTACAAAAGTTTAATCGAGTGATGTTTCATATCGTTAATTATCTGTATTAAAGGTCAGGAGTGAATGAACGTTTTTTTTTTGTCTAATCTTAATCACTGAGGCAGGCTTTAAATTTGATGAATCAAATGTTTCCTATTAAAGAGCGAATATAAAGATATGAGATGAAAAATTAGAACTGACCGATTTTAGTTATCTAGGAAGTCAGATAAGTCAGGACGGAAGGAGTAGTAGGGATATAAAACAGAGGATAGCGCAGGGTCGAGTCGGTTTCAATAAAAAGAAGTCACTTCTATGCTCGCAAACGGTTAATTTAGAAATTCGAAAAAGGTTGTTAAAGGTGTATGTTTGAAGCACGGCGCTGTACGGGTGCGAACCTTGGACAGTGGGCGCAGCGGAAAGAAACGTTCGAAATATTGTGTTACGGGCGAATGATGGATAGAGAAGATTAGAAATGAAGAGGTATTAGAAAGACTAGGAGACCACACGACTCTATGAAAGCCAATAATAAATAAGCGAAATAGGTTAGTAGGATACTTTTTGAGGCATGAACGGCTAGTCAGATACTTATTAGAGGCAGAAACGGAAGTTAAGAGTTATAATAAAGTGCACCTTATATATTAATTATTTCCTATAGGAAATGAGATTCTGGCAAATTTTTGCTTGAATTTACCTAACCTGACCTAACCTGGAAATTATCGGCGAATTAAAGGCGCAAGTATTCTAATTATTCCTCAATAAAAGAGAAATCCATACATTTTTCTAAGGTTTCATTTTGATGTCCGATGACAGCATGACAGCCTCGCCATTTTTGAAAAATTAAAGAAAAGATTGTTTTCAATTCGTAAAACTTGTTATCATCAAAAAGGGAACTGGTGCATTAATAGGTATAGGCGAAATAATAAATCTAAAATAATTATATAAGCTTTATTGAAACCTAATGTTATTTTGTACATTTCAAAACTTATTATTAACTTACTTAGGGTTACCAACTAGAAATTTTAAAATGTCCGGAGATCGTTCGAATGGTCTGGAGTCATTCATTTAATAAATATATAAATGTACCTACAAAAAAAAGCCTATTCGTTTTGGGTAGTTAAAAAATAATCAACTATTAGATTAATTAATTTATTTATTTGAATATTTTAAATAGTACAAATTCGGGTATTCAAAATAATTGCGTTCAATAGCTCACTGTATACTCTTGGTGGAGAATTGGTGCTGTAAATACATTGAGTGTGACATTCAATAAAAACATTGCCAGTAAAAGAACAAAATTTTGTTTTTCGTCAAATTTTGAAAAACCGGAAATTTTTTATAGGAGAAAACTTAAAGACTCCGGACTAAAACTGGAGAGTTAGCAACCTTAAACTTACTATATTAACTCGTACTACCTTCCTTTATCACACCTCTTTCACAACCCTATAGCCAAAAAGGTTCCGGGTAAAATGTAACGTTATAAAAACAAAATTATTGGAAGCCTTTGTTTTTATTGTTGCCAACGGAAAGGTTTTAACTACCAATTACTGCATTTTATTGTCATTTCATTATAACATTTTATTTTAATTAATATAACAGGCTAGATCTTAAGCAAATATTACATGAAAATTGTGGATGTTTCTCCGTTTAATAAATACAACTGTGGTGCTGGACTGCTCAAGTGATTTTGAGAGTTCTGTTGGCTTTTTTTCATACATGGACGTGGTTGAGAAGAAATTACACTCGCGTGACATTAAAAGAACAAATTCTGTCAAAGAAATATGTAATTGTTTAAGAAACATTTCGCCTTGCCTGTATAGATATAAAAGTCATGAGAGGTACAGATAGCTTTAAATAAAATGGAAGCGATATTGACAGTAAACTATGAAAATAAATAAATGTAAAACAAAAATACTGGTATTCAAAAGAAGAAAAAGTAGGAATAGAACGAATATAAAGGTGGGAGTAGAAAAATTAGAAGAGGCGGCTGATTTTAGGTATCTAGGAAGGAAGGAGCAGTAGGGACATAAAACAGAGGATGGCACAGGGTCGAGTCGCCTTCAATAAAAAGAAGTCACTTCAATGCTCTCGAACAGTTAATTTAGAAATTCGAAAAGATTGGTAAAGGTGTATGTTTGGAGTGCGGCACTGTACGGGTACGAAACATGGACGGTGGGCGTGGCGGAAAAGAAAAGATTAGAAGCGTTCGAAATGTTGTGTTACAAACGTATGATGCGGATACCGTGGATAAAAAGGTTAAAAATGAAGAGGTATTAGAAGGGATAGAAGAAGAAAGGGCTCTATGGAAGTCAACAAGAAATGGGTGAGATAGGTTGGTACGACACCTTCTCAGGCATGCACGTCTAGTCAGAGACATATTAGAGGCAGAAACAGGAGTTAGGAAAGATAAAGAGGTAGAGCTAGATTAAATTACCTTTCGCAAATGGGTAAGGATGTGGGTTGTCCTACTTTTAGGGAAATACGAAGATTAGCTCAGGAAAAGAAACTGTGGAGGTGCGTATCCAGCCAGTCTTGAATGGCGACCTTATGACGATGATGATGAAAGTCATGAGAAAAAAGAAGAAAGTTAGTATGAAGTTAAAACCACAGAACATATTTATAAAGTTTATTGAATTAGACCTTAACTATTGTTTCCGAAAAGCTTGTTGTTATCAATGGTTGCAATAACCATAAAAATAATTATTGTTTTATTAATTAAAGGGTACGATAACAAAATATGGCTTCCATATAACTTGCACCTACTCAAGGCCTCTTTATAATGTAAGTAACAAATCGATAGAAGATAAAGGAGATAACCGCCACCCGGTAGAGATAACAGTTAATTACTCTAATAAGTAGTTCAAGCCCTACCGTCAAAATACGACGATTTAACATGGGTTGAAGTAAATTCCGTCTGAAGTACACTAAAAATTCCGTCATTGTAACAAGATTTATATTGTCACATATATGTATGTAGGCAACCCAACATACATATCGCCAAGGAAAACCAGGTTTCTGAAAGGCATATACTGAAAAAAAAACTTTTGGGTGTTTCATACCCATCAACCACTAAGACTGGTGGGCGGGCATTTTCTCCGGGCTACATCGGAAGGTAAGGCAGAAGGCCCTCTTCAACAGAAGAGAATGAAAGATTATCTGTGGAATATAACTGCCCTAGCATTTCCCTAAGTGATCGAAGGAAACTACAGAAAATCTTGGATCAAGACAGACGGACTCTGAATCGAACCGGCGTCTTTCCAAATGCTAATGAATGAACTAAACCTCTAGGCCTTGCCGCTCGGTGCATACACTGGAATGGCTATTCTCTATAAATAGTTCTCGCGAGATTGAGGAGAGTAGTCAGAGACTTCGAGGCGAAAGAAAGGGTAGAAAGAGCGAAGAAGTGGTAAAGTGTCTATTTGGTGGTGAATTGTTTAGTATTTGATAATAGAAGTATTATTTAGACAGTAAATGTTAAATAAAAGTAACAGTAGTATGAGAAGGAGTTTAAATACGTGACAGTATTGTTTTGTTGTACCTTTCTCATTACTCATTAATTTATTTAATCATGTACTGTTAATTGTATACACCATTATTTTTAATTTTTATATCACTCACTTTATCGCTTCTTCACTTTCATTTGCCTCGATATGTGACACTACCCCCTTCCTAAAACTAATCGCTCCAGTCAGTGACATCGCCTTTGTAGGAAGTAAGCTTGTCAAGAGGTGCGACCCTTATTTTTGCCCGAAGTGCCTTCTAAATTTAATAAACAACGTAGTTTATGCGTCTAATAATGGTATATGGATCATCCGAAGATTGTTCTACCTTTGAGAAACGTCCATTCCATTTTGATGGATTTTTTAGCTACACTTTGTCGCCTTAATTAAAACCAGCGGAGTTTGTCCTTTCTTTGTACGCAAAGCGTTATGGATGGCTTCTTCTTGCTTTTGTAGTTAACACATTTACTTGTCTGTAGATACTGAAAAGTCTTCAGGACGACCAAATTCTGGCCGGTGTTCTTTCAGTTGACTCATGAATGACGAGTCTGTAAGCTAAGAGAAATAGCGGTATGTGTCGGTGACAATTAGTTTGGTGCTTCTTGACAAAGCCACGTAAGTTGGCCTCCAGAGTAGCGTTAAATCATTCAACCATCAGACCATGCATGTAAGAGCGTTGTCCTCTTCTATATAATGATCATTAATTCAGTGAACTTTTTAAACAAAAATCACTCGGAGCCAGGAACGCTTGGTCAGAATGTAATTTCATAGGCTAATCCAGTTATTGACAACCTATTCGGCAACGGTGTGTGCTTCCTGAATCATATGCTACATATGCTTCAAGCTAACTGCTAAAGTACTCCATGACAACTAAGATGCATCGGTTACCGAACTATGTCGTCCACGACTTCATAGCCAATAAAATCGCTCGTATACCTTTCCTAGAGTATTTATAACACCGAAATGTTCTTCCCAATAGATTGCTTCTGAGCCTTCTGAAACTCTGTTCTTAAGAAGTACCACCTGATGTTTGTTTCCAGTTTCATCTCGACTTCCTCACATTCTTTTCAAAAAGCCGTGGTCAAGGGCCACTGGACCCAATAACTTTTCTTTGTCTCATTTGGATGGTTCACATCTACCCACGATGGTTTTGAGGTTTCAACTTCTTTCCGTCTTATCATTGGGCTAATAACTTTTACTCCCTTACTCTGGTCTTCGTTATCTTCCTGATATCGTTCAGGCTAAACGGTGATTAGATTACAATAGATGGATGCCAGTTTTTCCTTCTTATCCGTAGATGAACAATGTTTGCAGTTTTTCACGCAAGATCTGCGGGATAGTGCATCTACTTTGACGTGCTGTTTGTCTGAGCGATGCTTGATATCAAAGTCATATTCATGTAGTCGCTGTAATATTCTATCTACCCTCCGACTGTCTTCTATCTCCGTCCAGAGACTGTGTATTGTCTACAGGATACTTTTGTCTTAGGTGATCAATTCGTCCACAATTCCAACACTTCAGACAACCACTGTAGTTCTTGCAGTCTTTAGCAAAATGACCAGGTCTTCCATATTCCAACAGTTTGGATTCCAATCGTCCGTGTTTGTATCAACGGTTTCTTCACATTGATTACGCAACCTACTATTGCAATTACACTATCGTCGCTTCCTGCTTCTCACATAACCTTTGGAAACTTGTTTCGATGCTTCTTAACTCCAGGGTGTGTGATAATACTTCAGTAGGAGTCTTTTGGCTGTTAGTTTAAGAATTTCTATAGCAAATAGGTATCCCTGACTCCATCGATAAACGTCTGAACTGTCAGACTCAGATTATTGAAGAGTCTCATTAGTTCATTTGTTACGGCTTTTTAATTGCAATGCACCTGTTGTAGATGTTTATCGTTTCTTATTTCTGGTGGAAGTCATATTATTAGTGCTGTTACATTTTCTGAATCAGTTCATGTGTTTGCCTCTGCCTCTGGCTTCAGGTAAACGAGCCAGACCTATGCATTAAAAGCTGGAGGTGTAGTTTTTGATGGTCTTGCGCAGTACTCATCAGCTCTCACAGTATTAGGTAGTCGTAGGTTTTTTTCATTGATTATTTAATGGCACTTATTCCGGAAAATCAACGAGTGAATTGTTCTTCTCTTCCTTCAGAGAAATAAGCAGTATTTTCTTGTTCAATTTAAGAATGATACTAGATTAATATTTTGCTATAATAGACTAAAGATTTTGAAATCGCCGCACTACCACCCTCATTAAATGCAATGATACGTATTTAGGATGGAAATTACATTGAATTAGATTGACACGGAACGGAATTTACATTTTCCGTTTTACATCACTGCCAATTGTTTACTCGTCTTGATAACAGTTGATAATAAATTTATAACTGTAGATGAATACAAACTGGTACCTCCTACACGTAGGCATTGACTAGACCACTAGACTATCGAAGGTTGATATGTAAGCGTTACCAAATTATAACGTACTATTTCAACTGACATCAAAAAAGGAGATTCACAATTTGATAAACTATCTACTTTAATACGTTTTATCCAATTATTATGAAAAATGACATTCGAAATATTAATCTGAAAATTCATTTTTGAATTTTTTACCCACTCCACGCTACATCAAATTAATGAGGGAAAAATTGTTGCTGGAGTTTTTCTTTGTGATCGCTTACCAACATTAACAAACTTAGAAGTAGAATACTGATGTTTACTTTTTCAGATGCGCTTACTCTACCTCCTGCATCTATTGCTTGCCGTAATTTGTCTTTGTCGTGCGGCTCCAAGTATATTGGTTCGTTCGCAATCTGGACCGCTAGTTAAATACAATGACTATTCAACAGTAAATCTTCAGAACTTTAATGTACCTGAAGACACTGACGTAGCATCGTTACGATTGGCCCCTGAATCAAGTAAGAAGATTTTATTCCTTATTTGCATAAATTTTAGTTAATGGCAGTATATTTGGGGTTGTTACTTGTTCAACAGTGCTATGAGTTATTGAAGTGAAACTTCTTTACGCACGGTAGGGTTAGTTCGTTTCATGCGAGTTGCTATGTAACGAAATCATGCAACGGATGATCCCCCCTCTACTCGGCCACGTAGTCGAGTTCGTTGTGGGGATCGCTTGAGCCGTGAGTAGAGATGAAACGGTATCATTGAAGTATCGATTCTTTTACTCGATACTGTATCGGTTGTCAAGTATCGATACTTACTCGGTATCAATTGAAAAGTATCGATACTTACTCGTATCGAATAGTTTTTGGAAAATTATAAGTTAAAACCAAAAGAAGTGTTAAAATTCTTTATTAATAATTATAAAATTTACGATAAGAAGTCTGCTTCTGTAGCGCTTCCTAAAAATATCAATTTTTCTAAATGTTTGCCTGGTTAGGCGATTTCTTGAGGTAGTTATTGTTGTGCCAGCTTTGGAAAAGAGCGTTTCGCAAGATACAGAGGTACCTACTACGTTTAAATAAATGCGTGCATATTTATATAACGCTGGAAATACAGGCTTTAAATCTTCCCATTCCTCTAATGCAGGGGTCGGCAACCTGCGGCTCGCGAGCCACATGCAGCTCTTTGGATGTGAAGCTGCGGCTCTTTAGTTCCATATGAAAATATTATTTATTTTATCAAAAAAAAAAACATTTAAAAATCGTTCTGAATTGATTAACGAGGATTAGGCACTGATTATTATATCTCTCAGCCACTTGTACTCGCTTTTCATCGCATCTCAATAGTCTTCCAGATTGTTACACTGAGGTGAAGAAGTTGGCATGAATATAATTAAAAGTAAAGTAAGAAGCCAACTAACAAATTTGTTTGAAACTTAAAACGACAAGCCAAATTTATCCAAACTTTCTAAAATCATGCAAAGCCATGGCTCCCACTGAATTTGTTTGCTCAATTGTTTGTTATTGAAGTGCAAGTTAGTGTTGCATATAAATAGATATTTTTTCTTANAAAATTCTTTATTAATAATTATAAAATTTACGATAAGAAGTCTGCTTCTGTAGCGCTTCCTAAAAATATCAATTTTTCTAAATGTTTGCCTGGTTAGGCGATTTCTTGAGGTAGTTATTGTTGTGCCAGCTTTGGAAAAGAGCGTTTCGCAAGATACAGAGGTACCTACTACGTTTAAATAAATGCGTGCATATTTATATAACGCTGGAAATACAGGCTTTAAATCTTCCCATTCCTCTAATGCAGGGGTCGGCAACCTGCGGCTCGCGAGCCACATGCAGCTCTTTGGATGTGAAGCTGCGGCTCTTTAGTTCCATATGAAAATATTATTTATTTTATCAAAAAAAAATATTTAAATACGAGTACTATTTATTTTTGGCAAGAAAAAATTTTGTGGCTCTTTAAAAACTTTCAAATTTTGTAAATTGTAATTTTCGACTCTTCTGGCTCAAAATGTTGCCGACCCCTGCTCTAATGGGTTAGATTTTAAAGCGCATACTGGATTATCCAAATAAATTGACACTTCATCGGCTTTCGAAGAACGCTTTCGCTTCTGGCCAACTACAAGTTGTTTGTGATGTGACCAAAAATCAAAATCTTCGTTCGCTGTTTCATCTTCAGACCCACTGGTTGACATTGTCATAGTTTCTTTAATCACTTAATTTTAAAGTATCGATACTAAAAATACTTGGTATCGCAGAAAAGTATCGAGTATGTACTTGTATTTACTCGTACCGTTTTATCCCTAGCCGTGAGCGCGCTTCAGTGCAACGTTCGTTACAGGCAACTCCGGTATGTATAGTGCAAAATTTAAATTCATAGTGTACAAATAATACCATTAAACCAATTCCTTGACCCCTATCCCGGTATGTTTGTGTGTATGAAAAAGAAGTTTCACTTCAGTAGCGTGTTGTATAATTACACGTTGTATTTTTTATTGTACATTACAAAAGTAGTAGATACAACGTGCATTACTTCAAAAAGCCTTGTGGTGCTGTTGTACGTTGTTCAGGTCGACGAAACGAAAATTTTCCGTGTTTGAAGATAGCAGGCTCAAATGCTATAGAAGAGGAGTACCGATTTATTTATAATATATCCAGTGGGATCTAAGTAGGTAAAGATCGACCTGTACAGGGCTGATAAAGAAAATGAGACTTATTTAGTATTTGGATCATATGACTCAACATAAAAAAAATATAAATCATATTTGTCTGCGGAGCTCATTTCTCCACCGATCATCGAGCGAGAACTAGACAAAAGTGTACAGTACCATTTGCAAAATTTTTTAAACTGCCTCGTTAAAATTTAAGAATATGCTTTATTTAAAAGCATATTTAGCCAAAAATAATAACAAGTGAATTAACTTAACGCTCTACACACCATAAAACTTTTGTTTTGTTTTCTATTGTTAATTCATAGATATACATTTTTGTTTTAAGAAGTTGCTAAACATTTTCGTCTAGTACTGTACAGTTCTAGTCAATCTTCTAAGACCGCCCATCGAGAGCTCTGCTCGTTCAAGCTTGTTCCAACTATTTCCGTCTTGCTCACGCCTAGTGTGTATTCTTTCTATCTTCGCACATATTTCTTCAAGGTCACAATTCTAACAAACTGAAAGGGACTGTAAGAAGGTAACGATATCAGGTGACAGAAAATTTCATTTTATTGTACTGACTGGAGTTCGATTTAGATTTGTTTTTGGTTAGTTAGTTAGTCCTATATATTCCTGTAAATAATCCATTTTTTTTAATTTTTGAGGTAAGGTATTTACTCCAAGATATTTGACATAATGTAGTCTAGTTAATTGGCATTTTTCATCTATATGTATAGAGGCGCAGTCGGCGTTGTTGGCATAAGTGATGTAAACTGATTTGTTAATGTTAAGTGCTGATTTTTGTTCATCCAGGATGCAAATTATGTTCAAGTGAAAATTGTTAGTGTTAGGTTAGTGCCTAATCTTTTCCATGTACGGTCCAGACATTAGTATTGCTCGCAAAGGAGAACACTGTATGTGGTGGTGGTTCGCAAGGAAGTCTTAACAACTTGGACGACTGGGTGGTTACCCCGGGCGGCATTCTTGGAGGGGCGGTCAAAACGGCTTTAGGCCGTTTTTTGGTTGAAGATTTTTTTATTTATTAAAAACAATTGTTATGTGCTATAATTTCTAGTCCAAAGATTAGCCCCTGCAGTAAAGCCCCAGAAATTTCCCTAATGCTGTGATAGGTTTAAGGATATTACTGACCCTACCCGTTTCTGTAGCTGCTGTTGATCAGCCTAAGTCGTCGTCGTCATCGTCGTCGTCGTCGTCTTCGTCGTCGTCTTCGTCGTCGGGTTGGTCACCGGGTTCGTCGTCGTCGTCGTCTTCTTCGTCGTCGTCGTCGTCTTCGTCGTCGGGCTCGTCACCGGGTTCGTCGTCGTCGTCATCTTCTTCGTCGTCGTCGTCATCGTCGTCGTCTTCGTCGTGGCCGCCGAAGTGGTGGCCATCGTCGTCGTCTTCGTCGTCGTCGTCATCGTCTTCGTCGTCTTCGTCGTCGCCGTAGACGTCGTCGTCGACGAAAATGAGAGGACAACTGCCTACATTAAATTATAACGATATAACTTCTGCAAAAATTACAGCTAGAAAATTTATTCGGTTTTTTCATTGATATTGATATTGTTTAATTTTGAATTGTACGACACATGTTTTGATTGTAGATTTACTACATTTGCATGAATAAAAATTAAAAAAAAAAAAGTTTTTTATATCTATCGACAATGAATATGGACGACACGGAAAAGGTAGGAGCAAACAGGATATCTCCGGAAAAGTTGTTTCAATTCCATTAGAATTAAACTGTTGCAGTGTTGCAATTTGTGTAATTTGTGAAGATGTATATCACAGAAGTTATTTTAATAGATTAGTGGAAAATCACACGATTTTTATCTAAGTCCAGTGTTGTATATATGTGATAAGCCTTATGATGTTGACTTTACCTCAATTATGACAACATAAATTGAATTAAATGAAAAGAATAGGTTGTATGTATATAACTAAACAAATCGAACAAATATTTTGTATATTTTTTATAGTGTTTTTAGTTTGTATTAATTTTGTATTTATCTGTAGATCATAATATCTGTTTATATCCAATTATGTTCACAAGCAGCTTTGGGGCCCCTTTAATACACCCTTTAGTTAGGTATCAAATGTTGAGAAAGTTCCCAACTATGATACGTCGGGCTTTCTCTGGGTACCTGAAGGGTGCATAGCAACAACAAATGCGTTGACCATGGGGTCTATTTTACTTTAGGGACGTGTCCTATTTTGGTGCAGACTATTAAAGTCCTGGACAACAAGATAGTAATACCAAGTGCCATGGCTTAGAGGTTTAGACCATTGTCTAGCATTCAGGTGAACAACAAAAAGAATTATTGCAAATATAAAACAATTTCTAGTAGGCAATAAATTTTCTAATAACCACTATATTGTAGGTGACTTCAATATATTGTTAAAGAAGAGAATTGTTTGAATAACTGTTATGAGTATGGATATCTGCCCAACTTCTTTTCAATAACTAGAAATAATGATAAAGGAGAGTAAAATCCTGGCATGAACAACACTGCATATAAACATACCGATAAATTTATTGATCATTATCCTCTGTTACTGTAAATTAAAACTAATGTTGAAAAAAAGAAATGTGATAGTTACCACTCCACAGCTATAAATTCTGAAAAGCTAATGAAACTGAGCAATCAGACTAACTGGAGTTAATGTTATGACAGTGATATTGACATACACTTGGAGGAACTTCTTAGAACTATTAATAGTATTATAAATTTATCTAACCCATAAAAAACAAGAACAACAAAAAAAGAAAGGGTAACTAAGGGGATAACGAAATGATCTGATATAAAAAATAAGTTATAAAAAAATGTCAAAATGATCATAAAAATAAATCTCTTGTAACAAATTATAGGCAAAATGCGAATAAACTAAATAATCTAATTAAGTATGCAAAGAAAAATTATGAGAAGAGTACAATTGGAAAAATAAAAAATGACTGTAAAAAACTTTAGCATTATGTAAATAATAAATTAGATAGGAGAAAGAAAAAGAAGAATTATTGAGTTTTTATACACTGAGCTTTATAATAGTAGACCATGTATTGCTGTATTTTTGCCAAGGCTTTTGACACGGTGAACCATCAAATATTATAAAATGTTTGCTCCATTAGATCTAAAGCAAACCTATACTCTTATGTATAATGATAATGATGAAAAGCTAAACAACATGTATATTCAATCACAAAATATTTAAGAAATAAACGTACTTATACCTCTACCCACCGTAAAGCTCGAAGTAGGTAAAAAAAGCAAATACTATAATTCTGTATTAATCTATAATAAGCTTGATAATAAGTCAACTGATAAGGTGACTGAGATTTTTGATATACTTGATCCACCTGCTTCAATGAAATTACTTAAGGGCAAAAAAAGATATAAAGAAAAAATTTAAAGAATGCATAATTTATAATAATAATATCCTTGAAAATACGTAATTGCAATCTATCAACTTAAGGCCTGATATTTCTGCCTGACTTGAAACGCATTTAACCATAGATAGTGGGTGTAAAAGGAATATTATAGATATTTGTATGTAGAATCAAACCTGTACACAATATGTACTTATACAGTCTTACTATTTATCTGATCTATTAAAAAAATAAATACATACATAACAGCCAAAACTATAGGGAGGCTACTTTTTAATAGTTTGCCCGGGGAGGCCTTAACTGTAGAGACGGTCCTGGTATTTTGTTAAACATATCTATCATTAATATAGATTAGGAAGTCCTCGTCGTCGTCGTCCTCATCGTTGTCGCCGTTGCTCCCGTCGTCTTCCTCGTCGTTGTTGAAGTTGTCGTTGTCCTCGTCGACACCATCATCATCGTCGTCTTCCTCGTCGTCCTCCTCGTCGACATGGTTATCCTTATCGTCGTCCTTGTCGTCGTCCTCGTCGTCGTCCTCGTCGTCGTCCGCGTCCTCGTCGTCGTCGTCGTCGTCGTCGTCGTCGTCGTCGTCGTCGTCGTCGTCGTCGTCGTCGTCGTCGTCGTCGTCGTCGTCGTCATCGTCGTCATTGTCTTTGTCCTCGTCGTCATCATCGTCATTGTCGCCTTCCTCGTTGTCCTCATCGTCGTCATCGTAGTCCTCCTAGTTATCATCGTCACCGTCGTCCTCTTAGTTGTTCTCGTCGTCGTCATCGTCGTCCTAGTCATCGTCGTGATTGTCGTCGTTATCGTCCTTGTCGTCCTCCTCGTCGTCGTCATCGTCATCGTTGTCATCCTCATCGTTAACTGTTTCTGTACAGCAATTTAGTACCGGTCATCCTTTATCCCTCCTTAATCTTGTTTCTGTTTCTGATTTGGCTTTAATTAGGTTCTCAAGTCTCGGAAGGTATTCTACCCATAATATTACTTATTTATAAATACATTTTACTTGAGTGAATAAATTTTCCTATGTCATTCTAGACGACACTTTCTTCTTCTACAGTGATAATAATGAAAGCCTCATTCAAGCTTTATTTTGACACATTTTTGAGGTGTTAAATCAAACATGAAGAAAGCAAATTAAAACCGTCAGATTATTCGGCAGTAACTTGCAACTTGCCCAAAGGCGGTTGATAAACACCAATTAAGGGTGTCATTTGAAACTCCCCCTTCGTTACTATTCGAAAGCCCGATTCTTATGCTTCTAGAGTATATATGACAGTGTTCAACCACCGCACTGTTTGTAAGCATTAAATCGAAAGAACTCACGATTTGAATGAAAACCAAGAAAATTGAAGCAATTGCTAACACATTTTCTCCGCAAACGATTATAGTAATAGACAAAGCTACTACAAATATATTGATGCCTTCCAGTCATGCTAAAGTTTTTAGCAATCGATTTTATTGTTTCGGTTTGGTATAAAGTTAAAATTATTTGAACTTTGACTTTATTTTTACATTCCAGACGTATCGAACTTTTTGGGATTACTTTTATTAGAACCCAGGTTATTTCAAAAATAGCTACGACTATCTAAACTATTTTTTGCTCGTCTGATTCTCTGTTTATACAGAATAATCTTCGAAACGGCTAAGCCGATTTCTATGTGGTTTGTTTTTTTCCACACGGACCAAATTACGGATAATAGTTAGTACAAAAGTATGTTTGTCCAAACCTTAGCTTCTTTAGACGTTCTGAAGAAGCCAAAGTTTCGTTTAAATTTACATCTATGTAGTTGCATATAAATTGAAGTTAATGTCTACCTGTAATATTGAAAAAAAAATTAAAACAACACGTGCAACTCAGTACACGTGAAAGAAATGAAACTTCTTTGGCGATCTCTATACCTTTGTAATGAATAAGTAATGATTGGTGAAAGAAAGAGAGAGTATGAGAATTTTCAGGATTTATATTTTCCAACATATTTAATCATTAGTCCACCTAAGGAGTGTTACTTTAATACGTTTTTATGTAATTCAATAACAAAAGAACGGTCAAATTTGTTTCGCTTCCGTCTATTTTTCCAAGTGCTTAAGAAACCGTAAACTATTAATAACTACAAGGAATTAGAATTAATACATAACAATACTCACTCTTAAATAAATATTAATTGTTGTTAAATAAACA